GAGAGAGAGAGAGAGAGAGAGAGAGAGAGAGAGAGAGAGAGAGAGAGAATACATACATAGGAAAAAATCCAAAAAATTGCCAAGTATTTATTCGATTATTCAGTTTCTTAAATATTGTTATCTATTGTCTTATCATTATGGATTGTTATTGATTAAAAAGTAATGTCCTCACAGTTTGATGAAACTTCTGTTGTCAAGATGACATTGTATGTAATAACATAGATATACATCTATCTCGCGCGGAACGCTGCGGCCGGCTTGCGTACCACGTGAAGTTTGCGGAATGTGGCGGCATGACGAGTGAATAAGCGCGCCATCCTATAACGCCTCGGGCGACTCTAGCAACCGGTGTTATTAAATGAGAGCGCCATTTTCGCGCATGCGCGCCGCAGCATCAGGGACGTATACGTATGTAAAGCGAATGTTATATTTCGGTGGAACCTAACTTAGAGAATAAGGGTCGACGAGGTAAGCAGGCAAGTTAATTCGTGCAACATATGTGCAACACGGATCCAAATGTTATCAAATTGCTAAAAGAGTTATTAACAAACGAGATATAACATTTCAAGATTTGTGCTTGAACAAATGGATTGTGCATTTGTGTTTGGACAAAAATAAATTTCAAGGATGATTGACTAGCTCACCATTCTGAAGTACATAAAGCTTTTTATACCATACATTGCATCAACATTAAATGTTGTACAACGAACTTGATAAGTTATTTATAGCGGCCAAACTTGCAGAGAATGTAACATTCCATTTTATTGTCACACGCACGCGCGTGCTTATTGATTTTTCAAAAATTCTTAAATAACTTTTTAGGGGCATCCACACAAGAATATAGGAGCCATACACAGGACCTTTAGATAATCAAGCGAATCGTGTTGGCTTGTGCTGCCACCTTAAATACGCATGCGTGAAAAAAAGGGGGCTCGTCTAACAACATTGCTAGTGGCTCGGCGGAACGTCACTGCGCGTCCTTTCGTGTGCGCGCCTTCATTGGGACCGGGTGTTTTCTGAAAGCGAGTTTATTGTGTGTCGCGCGTTCACGCGATAAAGGGGCATTTTTTCGCAAAGAAGTCTTCTTAATTTTGGAGAGAACTTGGAAATAGTTGGCAAAAAGGATCTCGAAGCGAAAGAGTGTTGCCGCATCTCACAAACAGGACAAGTGACCGAATCGGCGTCGTTGCCATTTGGCAACGTGACATCGTTTATTTCAGAAAAGAAGACAGCTTGAAAATACAGACAGTACAGCAAAGGGATAAATATCAATTTTGATTGGGGAGACACGGAGCATCGATTGTCGTTAAAGCAGTGCATGTTTCTATTACAGAGACGAGATCGACAGCACACTTCGAATTTCTGTCTCTCTTTCTCTCTGTTTCGCGATCCCGCGACGAAACGAAATGAAGTTGGTTATGCACATGCTTTATGAAATCAGTGATTGTTACCGAGATAACTTTGACACGCGTTTGATGGTATCTTCGTGCTCGTCGCTGCCTCGAATGAGTTCTCTGCATACGACTTCATTGGCTACCACGTTGTCTCTGTTTCATCACCGAACTTCAGGCACGTGTTGTACTGTTCAATTTCGCGTTTTGTCCAGGCTCATATTAAGATACATTTATACTATATGATACATACACGTATTCATTATTCATATTCCCCTCTGTTTTTATTAAATTACAGAAGCGATAGTGACTTAGAAAGAACAGGCAAGATGTTTAATTTTCACAAGCCCAAGGTTTATCGTTCTAGTACTGGCTGCTGTATCTGTAAGGCCAAATCTAGCAGGTAAGTGAACTATTCAAACGAATTTACACTGAATTTACAAATTTAATGTAGACACTTGCATTATTCAAGTAAGCTTTTTCCTTAGATAAAATGATATAAAAATATATCACATAATATAGTATTCTTAACAACAACATTTATTACCTCAAAAAATTAACAATATTATTTTGGTGATTTAGTTTATTCTTCAGATATGCTAATCAAGTTTTAATAGATAAAGAAACATTTAAAGAAATTTGATGCAAAAATATGTTTGCAAATAGAGAGAGAGAGAGAGAGAGGGAGGAAGAAAGAAAGAAAGAATTGTTTTCTGTATTCGAGTGGATCTTTGAGCCTTATTTGTTATTTTTATTTTATTATTTAAAGTATAATTTGCTATATATATTTATATTATTATTATTTTGTCATAATAGACTTACCCATGCTGTTTTGTTATATTTGCAGTTCGAGGTTTACAGATAGTAAAAAATATGAAGATGATTTCTTGGAGTGTTTTCAACTGCAGGAAAGACGTACTGGTGAAATATGCAATGCATGTGTTCTTTTGGTCAAGCGATGGAAAAAATTACCAGCTGGAATGACTCGCGACTGGCGACACGTTAGTATATCTTGCAATAAATATTATTTCTCAATGATGCTAAAACGTCCACGATTGCCAACTGTGCTTGCCAATTTGAGATTTAAAGTACTATATTATAGCTGTAGAGTTGTATGCTAGTATTTGAATGAATATCATGATAAATGTGAACACAGAAAATATTGTTGCTTTTGATATTTCCGTTAATGAGTTTGTCGAACAAATTTGTGATTAACCAAAAAATTTAGAAATAATGCATCTGGTATATAAATATATATTATATGTTTAGTGCATTTTTAATAAATTCATAATTCCTTGTTGATATAATCTATGATTTATAAGTACTTGTATTATTTGAAATAATAATTGTACAATATTCATGTATAAAGTAATCTTGACGATAGATTGTTTCTTTTTTCTTCTCTTCTGTGTATACTCTGTCTATGAATATAATTATTTCCAGGTAGTGGATGCGCGAGCTGGTCCCGGTATTAAGTCGCTAACAAAATATAAGTCAAGGAATAAGAAGAAGGTGAAGGATAAGCCGGAAAAGACCGAGAAGATTGTGAAAAAAAAACATGTTTACATAAAGACTGAAGCTGACCGCGAGCATAGTCCAATCATGTGCGACGATTTGAATGGTTAGTATAACCACGTTGGATTTAATTGTTTAAAGGTAACTTCTCGAGACGCGTACGTATATATGTTATAAATTAAGATTGCTAAATGCTCTTTATGAGTGGTGATAAGATTATTAAGTTCTATATTAAGTAACCTGGTCATTTGATACAAGAGTCCTGGAGAAGTAACATTTGTTATCTGTTTATCTAATGTTAGTATTGTTGAATGTTTGGTTTTGCAGAATATTACAGTGTTGTGGAAGAAGGCAGTAAAGGTTCGAGTAGATCAGAAAGTCCTTCAGATAGTGATGGTATCCTGGAGAAACAATTGGATGTACCACCTATTGAGAACACGGAAGCGGAACAGGGTCATGTTAATGATTTCATTGATTTGTCATATTTTAAAAGGTAATCTTAACATCTTGTTCGACTTGTACAACAATTGATAAAGTTGCTCATTATCGTAAAAAATAAATTTTAGAATTTATCTAATCTTGATTAAGCATGAGCGAGAGAGAGAGAGAGAGAGAAAGAGAAGTTTCTCAAGATTTTTCATATTTGCGTAATCTTCTCGAGCCGATAGAATTGCAAAGCATTTGAAATTATTGTTTAAAATTGTGAAACTTTTGGAGGAATAGCGTCTGATTAAAAGAAGAACGCTTTGTATGATTTTATAATAGAATAGGATAGAATCTACATACGCATGCACGCACACCTATGTCAAAATATAAAGCTTATTCATGAGATGTGAATTAATATGAATCAATCAGAGGCAAAATCGAAGAAATTGAAGCGGCGGTTTTGAAAAGCGCTGTCTTAGCGGGTCGAAGTCTTGGTTTTCTACATCAAATAAATGGCAAAGAGCCTAACAATCAAATAAAACATTTTAAAAAGAAAAACAAACTCCCTTCGAAAACCTTAAAAGTATAAACCTTAAAACTTTAAAAAGTATGAAATAATTTTGAATTAATATTTTTATGTACTTACATAATCTTTTTTTTTTAATATTCTAACGATATTACACAGAGAAAATATTATTCTACTGTTAAGAATTGCGATTGCTCGATTTATTTTACTCCTTTAAAGAAGATTCAAGCGATGATAATTCTATGGTTTCACAGAGAGGTCATCTGTTGCGGCATAATCTTCAAGGGTCCTTATGGTGAGGTGATCGTGGATCCTTCTTTACTGAAACCCTGCGTGGGTTGTCTGGCCGTCAGGAGACAACGGCAATGTAGTAGCGATGGCTCGTCGTCGGCATCGGAAGCTACCAGCCCCATCCATTCTGCGTCCGTTAGTCCGGCGTACAGCGTCGAATTGCCGCCGGAGGCAAGCGTCGTTTCCTCCAAGCAAAACGCTAAAACGACCTTCAGCGATTCATCGTCCGACTCTGGTTACGATGAATGCTCCAATCAGGGTGCAGATAGCGGCAACAAGACTGGCAAACACGGTCAGCAAGATATCAAGTTGCTCCAACGGATGGACCAGATGTCCCGTAAATCCTTGACAGTCGATGGCGACATCGCAGTTGATCCACCGCCTCAGATCCAGTCGATGTCGTCCAATTAATGCCGACTGTTCGTAGAGCGCTAATTTATTCTTTTCTCATTATCCATACACAACGTACTCGTACACACCACTACACTACACATACACACACATATGCATATGTATGGCTGTTCTTGACCATAGGGATGCATTTGAAGATTTGCCAATCGATTTTCGCCAGGGTCCAAAGTTAAGAGAGACAAAATTAATAGGGGAAAAAGGGAATTTCGATTTGAGGAATTTTAAGAGAAAATTTGTTGGTATTCTCAATTGTAGGAAACACGACAAAGATAAGGAAATTTTGATTTTAACAATTTTTAAGATTTCTAAGAGTAAAATCTTAATTTCTCAAACTAAACTGTAAAAATTTCAATTTTAAGAAATTTTGATACTTTTTTAACTTTTTTTGTTTTTTAGGAACTTTAAGGAAACAAATTTCAATTCATATCGTAATTTTTGGAATTCTTCAATTCCGAAAATTAATTCAACAATCGATTGAGAATTTCGCAACATATGATCTTTAAAATTATATTATCTTCAATAGTTCAAAAGGAAAAAATTCTTAAAATGTTCGACGCCGAAGTTTTTAAACTGTTGATAAGACGTGTCACAGGAAAGTGTTGATTGTTTTGGATTAAAAGCGATCGTCGATAACCAGTGACAGGTCGATAGCAATAAATGCATATGAAAATGGTTAGAGTCGATTTTTAGCATGTATTTAGACAGTATTAGGAGAAATTAATGAATCTATTTAGATAGGGAAATTCATACACACATAACGCAAACATGGCAATCAGATTGGCAAACTGGACCATCGGATCTTAAGAAATATAATCCTAGATGATAGAGGTAATTTAAAAGAGAGAAAAGAGTAATTAAGTATATAAAAACTGTTAGTTCCTAGTTGACAAAGGAAGGTTGAGCATGCATCGATTGCGCGTTTAGCACCGAGTTTATTCAGTTCTCATCTCATCTCATGTGCGGTCTTGTGCATCATAGAGTCCGCGATACATGACATGCGACACGTTCTCGTTAGGTCAACCAAGGGAAATGGTCGGAGATGATTTTTCGATGCTTATCGAAATTTGAAATTGAAAACTGTTTCCAATTGATAAATGAGAACGAGCATTTCCGATTTTCGCCGCATAGTGCTGAACGCGGGAGGAAAGACGGGCTAAAAAGAAAAGGACGTACAAGTGAGTACCTGCTGAGAACAAAAAGGAAGAAAACCGCAACTGTGATCTCATCGAGTTGCTTTTTTGGGAAATTCTTGACATTTTTTCACGCACAAACGATTCTTGAAACGGAACTCGTTTAGTGATATATTTTAAAATCTCTGTGCCACGATTCGTGGATTCGTGATGATTGAGCATTCTCAGAATCGAGATAATTTATCGTGAAGAAATAGTAATAATTTTTTCGGCATGCAAGTTCGGATGTAGAGAAAGATATTTAGAATTCATAAATTGCCCTGAATGTGGAAAAGCACGGATCTCTTGAACCGTAGTTATTGGAGAGAGAGAAAAAATGCAAAACTAATGACTCTCGGCTTAAATACTGGATCCGAGATCAAATGCGAAAGTATAAGAAAAATGTGCAATAAACACATCGTCGATCCCGTCCAGCTAAGCTAAGCTACGAGTCATTAATCTTTTAAGTTATTCCTAAGCGAATATCAGAGAAGAATAACACTGGTGTTTATAAATTATATAAATTGCCCATCGAAACGATCCGAAAGTTCACCGACAATCTCTTACGATTAACGTAAATGAAACGAGCAAGGGATAACAGTTTTTTTCATCAACAATCAAACAAACATCGAAATCGCTGTACGATCCGTTGTGGGGCGTGATGTTGATCGAACGATTGCCTCCTCCCATATTGGATCGTGTGAATATATTTGTACATTTCTTCTTTGAACTAGGATTTATGATCTCTTCATTATGAACAAAACCGGTAATTATATGTAGACTTACTATGTTATTATTATCATTGTCATCGTCATCGTTGCTATTATTATTATTATTATGATTTATCATAGCTAATATATATATGCGACGATCGAGGTTGGATCGTGGCGCTTCGATTTAGTAATTTTTCTTTTTCTTCCCTATTCTTTTGTGCATTTGATCAAAATTATTTTTCATTTATATAATTTATTTTAAAGTGTATTAAGTACGAAAAGATATTAATTCGTTCCGCAGTATGAATGTAAATTGATCTCCATTTTTTAAAAGAAAATCTTATGTAGGACATATTATATAAATATATATATTTTTTAACACATGTGCAAGCATGCGTGTATGTATGTGTGTGTATATATATTATCGTAAATTTTATATACGTATATATATATAAATGTATATATATGTATGTATGTATGTGTGTATATATATATATATAAAGTTGCACAAAGTGACATGGTTACAGATGAACAATGGAAAATTAAAAGACCAAAATTTTTTTAAGTAAAGAAATTCTAGAAAAGCTTTTAAATAAACATCTCTCTTTAACAAATTTATGGATAAATTTCATCTTTTAAGAATGGAAGAGATTTTCAATTATACAGTTAGAGACTGATGAAGAATTTAAAATTTAAAGAGAAGAAAATTCTTTTAGATATCCATTGTTGATAAATGGAGATTGTTAGGGAACATAGATTTTATCATATATTTTTATATACAGAATATATGTAAAGCAATGAGAGAAGAAAAAAAGAAGAATATCGGAAATAAGCGCTACGAACCTGCCTGGATTAATAAATGAGAGATATATCGTTCCACTCTCTTAATTTATTTGTTTTGTAAGTTACTTTTGCAATATCTTTTCTATGTACACATACATATGTACAGGGTGTCTGACTATTATCGTGCCAACAACACTCTTGTTTAAATAAGGTGCTGCGTCAAATTGAATAGACAGGTTCTTTTGTAAAAGACACGTACATAAAATAGTTGTCAAGATATAAATTAGAGAAGATTGAGGTGCGCGATGCAGTGGAACTCTGGAGTGGCTCAAATTGAAACATGTTTCGAATTATTTACATGTTTAATATCAGGCACCCTATTTGCGTACATAGGTCAGTGATCTTCGTTTTCGTAATCTTCTTTCTTTTTTAACACTGCCAGAGAAAGGAAAAAATATCGCGGTCGTCAACATTGATAAAAAGTGATAAGTAACAACAACCAAGTCTGGCAATAATATTATGTAAAAATTATTTATATATGCTTCTCGTTCTTACAATTAATTTAAACAAACATATGTGCGATATTACACTAGAGATATGTTACAGAAAATAATTCAGAGGATAAACATGGCGCGACAAGGTGTGTGTCTGTATATGTAATAGAGATATTGAAATTTTAATGGGGAACCATTAAATTTGTAAGTGGAAATTTTATCGATTAGAAGATATAATGTGTGATGTAAATATATCCGCGAAGACAACTGTGCAAGTTGCGATGGACAAACAAACCTTTTTTATTTTTTCAAAAGAAATGGTTTTTCAACCTATTGTAAAAACAAAAAAAATCTAAAGTAAAATTACACACACACACACACACACATACATATATATAAATTAATATCTGTTTAAGAAAAGCTTTAGAGATAAATAATGAGAAATTAAAATATTAAATTTGTATTTTAACTTTTTTCTTTTTATCGAAAATTCATTCAAATGTGTATTTTTAAACTGACTACACTTACATGGCAAGATTAAAATGATTGAGAATAGTCTGTCCTGGAAATGTCCATCAGCACTTCATTGGCAATTGTCGATACGCACAGTGGCTATTGCGTATATCCTTTGCGAATTGACACAAAAAAATTCTTATTGTTTCATCAGCGTGTTGAGAGCGTCTTGATGCGAAAGGACACGATTTCTTCTTTTATAAGATACTGTTTCAACTCGCGGGAATATGCTGTATACACAGAGTATCCTATTTTCACCGAATGTTTCTCAAAATTCTTCGATCAAATCATTGTCGATCTGTTTTCTTTTTTTGTTTTACGAAAATTTCAAGATATATATATAGTTCTCGAGTTATGAATGATCGAAAAAGGAGATGTCTTTTCTCGAAAGTTAATTTGAGTTGTATACAGATTGATTTTTAATGCGCTTATTTTTTAAATTAATTTTTATTGTATAATTACGTAACATAAAGTAACGATGTCCTCGAAAGAATGCTCTTGTATGCGCATGTAGATTTAAATCGTAACACGATTAATTCATTTGTCTTTCTTCAATTCCATTATGTTGATAACTTCCGAAAGTTTTTGTAAGAAATATTGGCGAAGATTTAACTTTTTGCATAAATATTAAAAGTAAAACGATTAAGAGACTGATTGATACATTTACCCAGGCAGCAAGGTGACGTCTAAAGACGTCATTGAGACGTCATTAAGACATCCATAGATGTCTTAATGATATCTTAATGACGTCACCTTGCTACCTGGGTAACTTTTTATTTACGGCGCTCTGTGTATGTGTATGTGCGTTAGGTGAACTGTTTATTGGGTAAACTTAACGTGCGCGTACACGCACACAAACATATGTAAGAATAACTATATGTTATTTATGCGTACGTGTGTGCGAGATTATTTATAATAGATAAAATGGATGCATAGCAGGATACTAACGATGACGACTGCCGTAATTAAGATAATAAGTAGTGTCGGTTACACACACACACACACACATATACACAGCATATATATACACACACAATTTGTATATATATGTATGTATAGAAAACAAAAATATCTATTCCAAGTCCCACACTGTGTATAATCGCTATTAGAGATATTGTTCTATCGTGTACAATTATATTTACTATTTAAGGGATTATTATTATGATTATTCTATATTCGCGGTTATCGATATCTTGTTGAGATTTCAAATTACGAAACAAACAAGAGGATTTTTATAGTAAGATAAGGAAAGAATTATGCCACTTCTCTTATATCTATGTACAACTTTGTAATAAACCGATTTATTTGTAATTTGTTTTGTTTGAGTCCTCTCCATTCAGAATCATAGAAAAATTGACTGTTGTCACGTATAATTAATGTTTGCTCGCATTGCTTGCACTTTTAAAGCTGGCCATACACTTTCCGTAACAGTAACCGTAATGCTAGATTCAAACTTAACGCGATTAGCGACGAGCGATGAGCGATATCCAATGAGAGCTCTTATTTCTTTTTAAAGCAATACTCTCAAGCGTCTTCTACAATGGCAGTAGGAGTAGTAGTAAGAAATAAGCAGTAAGTAAATAGACCAATCACAATCGATTATTTTTGAAACGTGAGAATGGAATTGGTCAATTTGCTTACTGCTTATTTCTTACTACTACTCCTGCTGCCATTGTAGAAGACGCTTCATAGATTTCAGTGTGAATCTTGCATTAAGGTATCTTTACATGGGAGCATCGAGCGTCGAGCGTTAAAGCGGTAGCCAATCAACGTGCCACTTTCCGCAAGAACTACAAGTATACTTCTAGGACCTGATACGTTGATTGACTAACGCTCGACGCTGGAACGCTCCCATGTATTGGTACCTTTAGACGTAACGTAAGAATTGACTAATCATGTTGAGAATCATCGAATTGTAAGGTCGCCATTTTGTGAATGCTCGATCGTAATTGGTCAATTCTTACGTTACGTTTTACGGTTACTATTACGGAAAGTGTGTGGCCAGCTTAAGGGACCATCTACAATGGAAAATCGTACGCCGTAACAATAAGACGTAAATTGACCAATCATACTGGATTTTTACAAGAATAATCGATTGTGATTGGTTAATTTCTTACTGCTGCAGCATACAATTCTCCATTGTAGATGGCCCTTAACACTATCTAAAGGTATCTAAAGGTTCTACATTAATTGCAATTCGATTGCAACTCTTGTTGCGACAGCCAGTCAGAAGCGTCAATAACACCATTGATGCTTCTAATTGGCTGTCGCAATAAGAATAGCGTCTGTTTGCGATCGGCTTGCAACTAATATAGAATGACCTTAATACCATCAGACATGATGAGCGCGAAATCCAATGAGAGCTTTTTCTTCTAAAGAGAAGCAATAGGCCTATTCTTTGCAGCTGCACTGCTGATGCAATCTTTGACTATTTAATAACGTGTTTGACTGGCCCTGGGCTCCTATTCTTGAAATTTTTGTGTATACGTAATTTTCATTGCGCAGCTATTTTATGGTATGATTAAACCTACGCAATAAAACTTACGTATACTCAACTATTCCAAGAATAATGGCTCCTGCACACAGGACGCGGTAATGCTTGCCGCGCGGCGGAAGTCCGCGCGACAGTCAATCAATATGCTGCTTTCCGTAATAACTTTCTAGCTTTTACGGAAAAACAACATATTGATTGGTTGTCGCGCGGACTTCCGTCGCGCGGCAAGCATTACCGCGTCCTATGTGTAGGAGCCATAAGGGCCCTGGGTTAATCGCTCCGAGAGCGATTAATGACGTCAAAAGTCTCTACTAGCCAATCATAAAGCTTATAAGTACTTGGTCGACCAATAAACGTAGACTGAATAACCCAGAGTGGGTTAACCCAGAGCCAGTCGAACATGTGGTCTGTTCTTTTCAGCTGCACTACTGAACTGGTGCAATAAGTTAAAGGGAGACAAGTATATGTTTTCTCACTCTAACTTATTGCACCAGTTCAGCAGTGCAGCTGGAAAGAACAGACCAATGCTATTAGTAGAAACGGTGGCGATCCGTAATGGAGATTTTGGAATTATTCTTTGCAATTTATGATTCATGCAGAGAGAAGTATGAGAGCGGTCACCAGCCTGATATCAATGGCCAGAGTTAAATGCATTTTCGAGACGTCATCTAACAAAGTGCGCCTCTGCTGTTCGTTAGGCGCATTTTCGCGGTGGTAACGATAAAATGTGCCTGGTTCATGCCCATTGTACTTTCCGATCGGACGCTCTCTGTTGAAGTGTCGCAAGGTCTAACCTTAGTGGATTGACGAGTAATTTGCAAGACTTCTCGAAGGAAAATATATGACTTTTGTAAGTAGCAATGTTATAATTGACAAAGAGTTGAATAACTAGCAATGTAATGATAGAAAAATTCCGCGTTTGAACTCGTTGCGGTTCGGTTCGATAGCCTGACACAGCATGCAAGCCAGCTGAAGATTCACTTAGATCTTCCTGTTTGAGCTTTTAGATGGATAAAACGTAACGGTACAGCAAGCTAAGAGTGCTTATCGTCAATTCGTGACATATCTATCATTGGAAGACAACGTTTTCAACATGTCGTTACCTGCCGTGAATAAGTCACGAAGCGTTACCTGCTGGATCTTTGTACCATTATTTATAGGGCTACATGTAGGTTGGTACACGCTACAACAAACTTACGTACCGCCAAATGAAAGACACGATCATCCATTGATCAAATATTTTAAGAGATATACTAAATAGAAATATCTGTAGGGTATATCGTGTTATATAGGGTGTACTCTCAAGAGCACACTATCAGTGAAATTTGTTGCACGCATGGACGTAAGAATATATTGACGGAGCGAATTGTGGGGTGAAACCCAATGAGTGAGGGGAATGATTGTATATATTATAATGGAGTTGTCATACCATGATGGCGACGGTCACTGTTTTTATACATAGACAATAGATACAAACCTCCGACATCATGATAGCCGCGACGATGTAACCTCTTATCTCTTGGGCTTCACAGCCCCTCGTCTATAATCGCACTTTGCGCTCCGTCTATGTTAACACATCATTCTATCTATGTTGTATATATGTAGAAAGACTGAATGACACGTAGCGACGATATAGCGCGCTTTCCGAACGCACCCATAATAGTTGTGATAGAATGATTTATTTTATACAAAACTCTTTATTGTAAGAGATATACATATGAACTGCACGCGTTTGCTTCTACGTGTAGATATAAACGCAAATCTAAATCATTGAAATTGAAATAAAATAAATTTGAAAATTTCCTCTTAAAAAAGGAAATGTGCGAATAAACTGTAAAAAGATAACAACCATAACCGTTCCTTTTCGTTCCCTTTTCTCTTTGTTTTCTAATGTTTCACAGATCGACGCAAGTATTCTCGAAAAGCTTAAGAAAATATATGTACAATCACAGAGAACGATTAACCTCTTATAGTCGGTAGGTGGTCAAAATTTTGTTGATGTATGGAGGAGCTTTTGGGCCGATTTTCACTTTGGCTATGAACAGAAGGGCCAGCCTTGGGTAATTGCGGCAACACCATTTGGCTATAATTAGTATTCTGAAAACGTAACAAAATACTTGTAATCTCCATAGAGCTGAATGTACCCCTCTCTCTCTCCCTCCCTCTCTCTCTTTCTCTCTCACATACACACGTACACACGTCACCGATCACTCGGTACTTACTCGAGACCGCTCTCGATACTTTTTCAATTTTTCAAACTCTTCCATTTCGACATCCGGCATTTTGTAGTGAAAATTGTCAAAATAAGAATGTCGCAGCAGCTGTTCGCACGTCCACCTTCCGTTCGGATCTTTGTCTAAACATTTCTTGAGAAAATCTAGCTGTTGACGAAAAGTTGGACGGTGAGTCCGACGTAACGACTCGTAGTAATTCGTAACCCCAGACTCGAGTGAGTCTAATATTACAATATACCTGTAAAGGATTGTTATCGCCATGTGGTAGCGTGTCTTGGAGAGGTGTGAGCGTTTGCGGTGTTGGAAGAGTGATACCGGCGAAAAATTCGTTTTGTTGAAAGATGGCCATGTGTCTCGGTAAGAGATCACCCAGTGTTCTTCTTATCAGATACAATTGGTCTACGTCGGATTTTCCTGGCCATAAGGCTTCGCCTCGTATCAATTCGGCAAACACGCAACCGATCGCCCACACGTCTACCGGAGTACCGTACTGCGTATCCCCAACCTGCTCGGAGAAAAGCAGGCTTTATGCTCGCGAACCGTTGCAACTATTACGTTGACGGTTCGTAAAAATTGTAAGAAAAATTGTAGAATCGTCGCGCAGGTATTCCCCGGTTAATGCCGACTAATATCGTTACACGAGTGTCGATCTTAAGATTGGGGTCTTACCAACAATTCGGGTGCCCTGTACCATCTAGTCGCGACATATTCTGTGTAGTTTTCACCGGGACTGAGCATACGTGCGAATCCAAAGTCGCACAGCTTCACCACGCCTTCGGCGGTGATGAGGATGTTCTCTGGCTTCACATCTCTGTGAACGCATCCTAGGCGATGACAATAAGCTACGCCCTGCAGAATTTGCCAGGTTAGCTGTCTGGTCGTGAGGTCAGGACAGCCTGTAGGATATTTTTCCATCTCGTTCAGCAGTGTGTTCTCGCAGTATTCGAACACCAGATGTAGCTTCCTTTTTCGTCTAAAGACCTCCAGAAGATTTACCAGATTTGGATGCTTGAGATTCTACGGAAAAATTATCTGATCGATTGTTTCGCTTTTACGTGCTCTGTAGGAGAGGTGTGCTAATACGAGAAGGGTTACTCTTTTCAGGCCGAGAAATGTCAAGACGCGAAGGGTCATTTAAATGCGCATACGTTTGGTTTGGTAGCGCGGCGGCCACTTGTTATACAACGATAACGATAACGTAAGGCCGCGCCAGAGAACGGAACACGCTAAGATATTGACCGCCGCGCGGTATTGACCGTTGGCTACTTCTCGGCAACTACGGTGACTCTAGCCCAATGGTAGAGCTTCCTGTAAATACTCGCTCTCTCTCTTTCTCTCAAAAAGTGTGCAAGTGTCCGACGACAGCGGACTGATCGCGAATCGGTCGCAATTACGAGCGATAATTACGGGACAAGCCCGGATTAAGCTTGCCGGAACGCTTTCAACTGCCGCGTTGATGGACGTGTCGAAGCGTGCTTTCTCGGAGGTCAATGATCTCCGAGAACGCGTCTCTTGGCAAGCTTGTTCGCTGAGAAAGATCGATTGCGCATCGGAGAAGCTCGACGCAACTTGTATACGCTTTCTTCTGATTATTATCGCGGACTTCTTAAATGGAGCTTTTTTATTTCTTTTTTAAACGTTAGACCTTTTTTAAACTGACCTTCAAGAGACGTATCTCTCGTAGCGCGATCTTACGTATGAGGGGGTCATCTTCGGTCTGTTGAAACTTTTTTACTGCCACCAGTTTTCCAGTTTGCCGGTCCCTACACTGGAAGACAACGCCGTAGCTACCCTCGCCGAGCCGCGCCAAACGTTCGTAACGCTCCATAGCTTTGCTTGGCGCCCGAGACCTATGCAAAATTTATTTGTCACAAAATTTATCTCTCTTTATATGTTTCACCGAGCGAAACGAAGCTACCCTTTCCTTCGTTTCTTTGCCTCTATTAAGAGTGCTTTTGTTACGTTTCCACTGTCTTGACGTAACGTCAATGTATATAATTCCGTCGTTCAAGCGTCAACTCGTGCATAAAATCACATGTATAAAATCAACATGAAATCGTATCAACAAACATTCCAATCTATTTAATCTCTCGCTCTTTCGGCGATCATTACTGCACGAGTTGCCGAGAACACTGAATCCACATTGTACGTGCACAAATGTGTACAAATCTTTCACGAATCGTGTTTCTACAAGCACAGTATTAAAAAAAATTTTTCAAAGAGAAGGAAAAAAGCATTAACGTTTTAAAGTTTTTCGAATTTTTCCAACTTTTCCATACCCACTTTTTATACTTGGCAAGGCATGGCAAGGATGTTAACTGTTGCGTAAAAAGCATAGTATCACGACAGAGAGTACCGGCTAGACTGTCTCTCTGTTCCAATAGATGACCAAGGGTCAAGCTACCCCACGAAAGAGAGAGAGGAAGAGAAGGAGAGAAAGTTTTGTTCAAACCCAGGCGATTCGGCGCAGGCGCGAGCACGATTCTCGTCAAGCAAACCATTCACGAAAGCGGTCAAAATTTCATATGCTCATATAATGGCATTATCGTAACATGACAGCACAACGGGAACCGAGATTGATAAATTCCATCAAGACTGAGAGAAAGAGCTGTTCGATCAAATACGAATGCTCTTTATCATTTAACTCTCGGACGCGAACGAGATATCGATTTAGTGCGTGTAATTACATGATCTAGTACGGGCAAGTGGACTGTGTGTTATTTGGCTGTCGTTCGATTAATGGAAAAGACCAGAGAGATTACTCGACTATTGTTGCAGGTTCCAAGTAATTCGACATTGATAGTAAAACGGAGATGACAATTTCGTTCGATAAAAATTGGTCGAAATTGTGGAATGATTTTTTACGTTTTATTCGTAAGAATGTCACATGCTTATTTATTTACAAGTTTAATGTGTCGCGTTTTATCACGATATGGAGATATGCGAGGAATGATGTTCTCTTATAATATAGTTATATATTGACTATCGAGTATTGATATTATAGTTAGTATGATATATCGATAAATGTTGAAATATATAATTTTCGATTTTGTTTGAAAAAGGGAAGGAGGGAGGGAGGGAGGGAGGGAGAGAGGGAGGGAGAGAGAGAGAGAGAGAGAGAAGAATTATAAAAAGCTCTTACCACTGTGGTATATGTTGCTGATAATTTGCAAATCTCACATCGTTTACCATATTGTTGCATTTATACACGTATTATTATATTTCTTTGATAAAATTAGCGGCAAGTATCGATAGAAATTTTGAATGTTAATCATTGATATATACTTAGACTTTAAATCAACGCGCGGGACATGACTGTTTTTACTAGGTTACGTTTACGGAGATGGATGTGACAAATTTTTAAGGTGTGAATTTTTAAATGGCCAAATTCACAAGCTAACTTTACTACGTTTATCTACGTACATTGCAATTGTCATCTTGTCTAAAGAATTTTGGTTGAGCATTAAAATTTCTTCCCAAAAAGTCGCGTATTATATTTCGCTACAAGAGAGAGAGAGAGAGAGAGAGAGAGAGAGAGAGAGAGAGAGAGAGAAATAATACGGAAAATTAAGAGCAAAAATAATAATATAAATTTAAAATAATATCGTGACATTCCTTTATTTGCTTTAAATAATTCGTCAAAAAAGATAAACATTTTTGAAAAAAGATAAAAAACTTAAAACTTGAACAAGTTTGCAGTTGGAATATCGCATAATGATTACTTCTCTATTGCGAGAAGATAATGCAATGCTCGCAAGTGTTTGAAAAAATACAAAACCTCCGTTCTAAATGCGAATCTGAACGTACTACGTTTTAATGAAAAATGGTCGATGTTAACGATGTCGAGTCGGCGCACAATGTGTGTTCCATGTAAGTATCTAATGTTTCGGTAAAAAAAGAACTCGTTAGTAAGAATTATTAGTACGTACAAAAATCCCAGGATAGAATTCATGGAGCTCGTTGATCGGAACACCCTTATCGGCGAACATACCGAATAGTACTAACACTTTAGAGAAACGTCGCTTTACATTATCGTTGAACTCTTGATTATTGACAATCGATATTACGCTGCCTGTATGCGTCTATATTTAAGTATTCTGACCGTGAAAGAGGTCGAGACTGTCCTTTAAAAGTTAGACGTCGCGAAAGCGGAATCGTCCGCGGAATCGTGGCCACTCAGAAATGAATTTTTCGCACGAATGTTAAATTTCATGTGAATCTTGTACGATTCGCGAGAAGCGTTTTGTTTTCTATCGTTTTGTGCAATAAAAAATGGGAACTTTCTCTCTCTCTCTCTCTCTCTCCCACACACACTCTCACTCTCTCTTTCTCTCTCTCCCCTTCTTCTTTCGTTTCTTATCTTGCTTTGACGTCGCTTGCGTATCTAATGTACATTTTTGTCAAGTTTCCCCTCATTGTTGTTTTCTTTTCCATTATTTCACAGAAATGTGACTGGTTAGACCGCGCACGGAGAGAATCACGAAACATTGAACGTTCATTGGAAAATTGCGACATTTGCGGTCTCAAGTTTAGTTGGCCACCGGCAATCAATGTTTACTCGTGTTTACCTCCTCGGTAGCAATGGTAGCGTACTACCAAACAGCCAAAGCTTCCTATCCTGAAGCCATTTGTCCATTCGAAGGCTTTTTACAGAAATTTCCAGCTATGAATGAAATATTCATGTCGCAGCCTCGCCAACACCGTTGTGACAATCGCAGCGGATCTCATTTGAAGCGTCGACATTGTTGACGCGAACTATTGTCAAACTAACGTTCTCCGATGCTGATGGCAGCACTACGTTTTCACCAAAGCTCACCCACCGATCGTGTATTCGTCCTTTTGCCTAAAACCACGTCAACCACCCGATCGATAATCCTTCAAGCCAATGTATCTCAGGTCTGACGTCTTTGTACTTTTGCCAATTCTACTTTCGACACTGATTCCAAGTTTCGACAAGTTTACCTAACCCGAGTTTCTATCTCGATTGCAATGAAATGTTGGAACGAAAAATTTAGACGCGTTGATCTGACACATTAACCATTGACTTAGATTCGTGCAATTGTAGGAACACGAAGTATGTGGGATTGTTCAATTTTCGAGGACATGTGTGAGGTTAAAAATATTAGCACGAAATAATTGTTAAATTATAGTCAATCATTCATTTATTTTTTTACGTAGAATAATATCATTGTGTGCGTACTTGATTACACGGATAGAACACGTATGAGTCGAATATATGCATTTCATTCAACATTACTCTTTTCTTGTTCTCGATTCGTCATTTTGGGCTAATCACGAGATTTAAAAGCTCACACGGCTATTCAACTGTTTGTAACAATAACTATATTGCGTTACAAACTTATAATCCGTGTGTGTACGAGTGAGATAGCAAGTACTTTTCTGGCGGACTATTTACTTTTCAGTGTTGTGAATATATATATATATATATATATATACATATATACACAGAGTATCCGTCCATAAATGTCCGAGCAAATATCTCGTAACTGGTTGAAGTTACAAGAAAGTTTAATAAGCAAAATTTACATGGCTCTTAATCAGCTACAAAATGCATGTAAAAAATGTTTTTACTCGTGACCTTTTCGAGTTATGAAGGTCAACGTAGTTTTTTTAAATGGATACCTATATTTTTTTGGATATTTACACAGTAGAGATAATTTGCAATCAAAATTATGCAATCAAAATTTAGTAAAAAATTACTACTACGTATCGTTTAACGATCCACTTTGATGTAATTGATTTTCAATTCGTCGAAATGTACGACTGTTTGGTATTCTTCGTTCTGGATATTTTTGTTCATAGAGTAATCGTGCTTTATTTTCATTACGCATACTTAAACATATCTCAAGCATTACGTGCTACCCTGTAATTCATATTCCATGCTATACAAATACTTTACTTACAAATCAAGCAGTCGTGTAGTTTGACAAGTTAAAGGTCAGTGATACTGTTCGACATAACAGACTTCAAAATATTATGTACAGGGTAGTATGAGTCTGTTAGTCAGTCGTCTATATATTTTCAATAAGTACGTATTATATTGAAAATTACGAGTGCGCAAAAACAATGTTTACAATTACTGAACAGTATGATATGCTCGAGATGTAGTATTTAAGTATGTGTAATGAAAATGAAGCACAATTACTCTATAAACAAAAATATCTAGAACGAAGAATACCAAAGAGTCGTACATTTCGAAGAATTGAATATCAATTACGTCAAAGTGGATCGCTAAACGATACGTAGTAGCAATTTTTTACCGAATTTTGATTGCATAATTTTGATTGCAAATTATCTTTCCTGTGTAAATATGCAAAAAAATTATAGGTATCCATTTAAAAAAACGTTGACCTTCATAACTCGAAAAGGTCACGAGTAAAAAAAAATTTTTTACATGCATTTCAGTTGACTAAGAGCCATATAAATTTCGCTTATTAAACTTTCTTGTAATTTCAACCAGTTACGAGATATTTGCTCGGACATTTATGGACGGACACTTTTTGTGTACACATACACACACACACACACACACACACATAGTCTTTTCTGGCAGTTTTATATGTGGCTCTTGGAATAATTTTGTGGAAAAAATTAAATTTCATCTTCCTTGCATAATAAATACAATATTTCGAGTAAAAAATGTTACGAAAAGGTAAATTTAAGGGATCTCTTCCCTTTCTATATTATTCTAGAAGGAAACCTGCAATAAAATACTCTATTCTCGGAATTGTACTTTCATAAAATTAACATGTAGCTTTAAAATTATTCACATGCTGCTTTTTGAGAAAAATTCAATAGACACAAAGTAATATGAGTGATGTTATAGTTGATTCGGGCTAAGACAGACTTTTGTTACCATCAGGATACACAGGAAGATCATGTATAAATGATTACACGCTCTTTGCGTTTCTTCGTATCGTATTAGCTGATCCAAATTTATCGATGTCTCGAGTTTCACCTTTCACGGTAAATGTGACAAAGTATTTTTTGGTGCGATCCAGTCTCTCAGTTGGAAGCGCAATCACCTGTTTTTCCTCTCCGTGCGTCACCTCCACCTGATAAAATGATTAACAATTACAATGAACTCTAACGTTGTTCGTGAATAAATAGATAGGTGAGTAAATAGTAAACAACGCAATTATCACACATCCATTACCGTCATGTGTCCTCTGCCGCGACTTTCTATTTTCGGAAGATGATCCACTCGATCTGGGACGCCTCCAGCCACTGCAATTATAATCTACATTCACACTATGGACACTGACTCTTTTCGGGATCTACATATAGACGGCATATACAAGCTTCAACACAAGAAATCTAACGAATGCGCAACAATTGAAACTAAATTTGATATTTCTAATTGATTAAAATTGATATTTCTCCACCCGTAAGCTTGTACGTATTGCAAGTTGAGAAGGAGATGCGCACGATACGTTAACGTACGATATGTGTACACTGGAACGGAAGTATAAGCACTGGTCGCGTGATGGCAACGATGAGTCCTCTGCGTGCATTGTTTAGCTTCGGTACAAAAATCCGGAGTGGCCGGCTTTCCTTGCAATCTTCTCAGTTGCTCGTACAGGAATGCTTCGAATTGTCTAATAACGATCATTTCGTATACGTTAGGCGCGATGTATGAAAAGCAGGGTGCTCAGTAATAGATACACTCAGTAGAAAGAATCGCCATATTTCATCGTCAAGTATGTCTATTATCGAACATCCCGTACGAAAAGCGTTTAATATCTGAGCAAAATAACCTGAACGTTAACGGCCGATCGTACTTGACGACGCCAAGGGTAGGCCCAGTCATGCCCGACTTGTGAAAGGCATCCACCTGAAAGAGATCACCTTGCTATCGTACAATTAATGGCGCAGGTGTTTTGGAAAAAACGCTATTTATACCGATACCACATGCCCTCTCACCTGCCTCTTTACCAAGACATGCTCATTTGCTCTACCATGACGAATTTGTAGCCTTTTGAGTTCCATCAGTTGGAAAAAGATCTTCCTCTCGAGATGGTAACGACGCAAACTAATTTGTACATCTCTGGTGATTGTTTCCATATTAAGGGCCTGCTGTTTCGCCGTGTTGGGGCAGCATCTCGAGTTTCTCCTCCGTGGAATTCTCGATACTCTGGGACTCGGTTCTATCCCACTGTCTCTGCCTCCGCTGTCGCGACGTTGCTTCCTCCATGGCCGGTGGTCACCTTCTTCTGGATTCTCGATTCTAACTAAGCGACTGCTAGTTGCCGATAGCACCTAATCATCGACAGCGTCGATCGACTTATGAATGAATTTTCATCATAACAGCTCTAATTAAGTTTAACAAAACTGAATCATCTAAAGAGTAGTTGAAGAAATGGCGAATTCAAGAAATTGTCGTAAATCTGCTGTATACCCTTCCCCTCTAGGAAAAACATATTTTTTCAAACTCCTCAAACCATTCCTCAGATCAATTTCTCGAGTTAATTTCTCGAGATAAGAGCATAGCAAACTGACTGATTATTACGAATAGTTGCCGCGGGTCAGCAAACTATTTCGACACTAATAATAGCTAAAGATATAAATGTTTCATTTACCCGGGGCAAAGAATCGAGGTCTGAAGTTCTAGATACAGTCAAGCCTGTACTGGGTGCTAATGCGTGTGTTAGCTCTTCTTCGCTCGTACTTGGCAAAACTCGCGCAACATCGGTTTCATTGTCTTCTTGTTCCAAGTCCTTACCGAGAGTCTTTTTAATTTCCTTCTCGATTATTTCGTCTTCATCCCATACCGGACTGTCTATCACGGCGACTATCGCGCTTCGATCCGGCGAGTGTTCCTCTGAACTTTCGAGCGAGTGTTTCTTCGTCGGTGCCTTACACCTTCCCGTCCTCGTATTTCTTCCTGTGGACGGCCTTGAGCGTCGAGTTTTGGTCGGTCTCGGAAGTTTTGGAGAGCTCGAGCCACTGTCATCGATGTAGCGGAAATCATTGCCTCCTGAAATCTTGTCTGTTAGACAAATCTATTTGTTTGCCGAGTTAGACGCATTTGTTAATACACCCCTAGTCTACTCAAGTTCCTTCTCCTATAAAAATCTATAAAGAAAATAGTCTAGAAAAAGTATTTCAGAGTATTTCTTCTCCGTCAGCATATCAAGTATTTGCGAGCAACTTGTTATTCGTTTCAAATGTCGCTACAATTGAACGCAACTTGCTTTGTAAATGTACACTTTTCACCATTTGATTTGAGCCTACTTAATATACCTTGGTCCGAAAGCACTTACTTGGATATAATTACCTGTTTCATCTTTCGCTTGTTCATCGTCAGATTTCTTATGGCGAGACGATTTCTCCGGTGACGTTACTTGTTCCATTCGCGATCGGGACGCGTTGAAATCCTTGCCGTCGTTTGCTGATTGCTCGACAAACGTTAATGCGTCCGTTCTCTCCTTTTTATCCTCCTGCACGTTCTTCGAAGTCTCCGTGTCGTCGTCGTCGTCTTCTCTTGATCCGACATTTTCAATCGGATCGGAAAATTCGTTATTTTTATCATTTTCGCGTACATCAAATTGATTCGAGGATATCGTCTCCTCGTCTAGTGGTTGAACGTTTCCGGCAGTACTTCCGTTCTCCGGATCCGTACTACGCTTCGCCGCTTGTTGAAAAGTATCCTTTTCCTCCTCCAGGATCACAAGCTTCTCTTCAATTTTTTCTCTATCTTCGGAAATATCTTTCTTTGATGCGATGAGATTTTTAGTAGATTCGGAAACATCAATGTTTAAATTGGAAGATTTATCGGACGCCTCTTCCTCGGTTGTTTCTCGTTTTTCTCGTGCGTCGTCGGATGTATTCGACCGGCCTAGAGGAAGATTACTATAGCCAACTCTCGATTAATTTTTCGATGATAACGTGTAATTTGTCAAAAAAATTGCCTACGCACGCTTGAATTCTTACCTTCTCTTTTGTCGTTTGCCTTTTCGGCTTTCGACTCCTCCAGCCCGGTGAGCACTGTTACGAGCTCCGTCTCGTTTCCTGGAAGATCGGATGGACTAATTTCCTTCGGGAAAGAACGAAACGACGTTTCCAGCGTCGACTTGGGAGTGTCAGGTATTTGGTCTTTATGAACCATCGCCGTCACAACTACTCGCTCCACAGTTTCTTGACTAGTGCTATCCGTCCCGTCTATCCCGTATTGGGATTTCATAATCCGAGATTCCATTTCGTCAGCCTTGTCTTCACCTCCACCTTCTTTCTCGACTGACTTATCCGACGTTCTGCGACGAGTACGCCTCGCCGACTCTCCGACTTTCTTTTCTTCCTTGCCCGGCGACTCGTCTTGGTCGGTCGTATCTTCCTCATTGTCAGACGTTTTCGACTTGCTGGATCTGGACATTCTTTTAGAGCTACGTTTGTGTAATTTAGTCAGTGTTGTCTCCTTCGTGCTTTCTCTAGGAGTCTTGGATCTTCTCCCGGATACAACTTTTTCGCATTTCTTTTCCAGCGATTTCTTCACCACGATCACTTCCAAGCTGTCATCGCTTACACTGTGGCGATGGCGGCGATAGTGATGGTCATCGTCGTTTTCGTTGTCGTCGTCGTCATCGTCTTCGTCGTCGTCGTCGTCGTCGTCGTCGTCGTCGTCGTCAAACTCCTTCCTCGAGTTATCTTTGACTTTCGCTTCGTTAGAGCCTTTATTCGTCTCTTTCTCCGGTCGCCTTCTCGCGGTGTGTCGTCGTCGTCGCGTGCTCGTGCCATTCTCATCGTCGTAAAGATAATCGCGATTCGAGTAGTCCGATTCGACGGACGAATCTGAATATTCGTGTTTGCGTCTCGTCGATCTTCCTCTGCTCCGCTTTCTTCGCTGACTGCGCTCACCGCTGCCGTTGTTGTCATATCTGTCGATTTGATTAAGTAGAGTAAGTCGAATAGAGAATGCATTTGTAATAATTAAAAGAAGGACAGTGTGGAAACTAATTTTATTTGAAAGTGTTTTCACTCGTTTTAATTTATGAGACGACATTCTTTTGTGAGTGAATCGTACCATCGAGCGACATCAAGCGAATGAGAAAAAGATTTGAATAAGAGAAATTGTTGGCAAGAGCACTTTACCGCGCTGATTCGCTGCGAGTTCTCTTCTGATCCTTTCTCGAGGACATCTTTGACAGCCGTATCTCCTCCTCGCTGAAACTTCGACTATCTCGACGTGCGAGCTTTCTCAGATTACCTTTCCGCCGTGTTCTCCTTTCTGTCCAACGTTCCTCATAATAGAGCTCGGGATGTCCTCGGCTCGATCTACGAGGGCTACTGTCGCTCGCGGTACTACTTTCGGTATGTCTTATTCGGAATTTTGCTGTAAAAACTAAAGTGATGCTCGGTGATGCATGTATAATCGTATATACAGCATATATAGACCGTGTGATCAAGATGACCGACCTTTGTTCGGTATAACCTTGCGCGCTCCAAGCTGCTGCGCCGCCGTGGTACCACCGTGCATCTGAATCAGTTTCGCGCAATCCCTGTGTCCTCTGTAAAGGGCTGCGTCCAACGGTGTCATCGAACTGCCCTTGCTGGTTCGCAGAACCGCGTTGATCCTCGCACCATGGTCCAAGAGGAGCTTGCACGCGTCCAAATGGCCGTGCATGGCCGCGACATGAAGAGGAGTCTTGCCGTCCTGCGTAGCGACGTCGAGCGTGCTCGGTCTCTTCTTCGCCAGCCACTTCATCAACTCGATTCGGCCGGATGCTACAGCTTCGTGTCCGATCCCTGTGCCTCGCACGGTCCTAGCGTGAAGCGAACCGCCGTGCTGCATCAAAATCTTCAGGGTCTCCAATTGACCCTTTGCCGCGGCGCAGAGCGCCGGTCTGAAAACGAATTTTCACTCTTCAACCGCGTGAGATGTGTGTGTGTGTGTGTGTGTGTGTTAGAGAGAGCTCCGGTTCTACAAAAAATCTTACGTTCTACCCTTTCGGTCCTGCCGATTGGGATCCGCTCCAAGCTTAAGAATAAGTGCGGTGGCGTCGGCATGGCCTAAGGTGGCGGCATAATGCAACGCGGAACAGCCATTATCGTCCACATGGTCGGGCTGAGATCCGCACAAATTCACCAACACCTCCACGCATCTCGCGTGACCCCTCGAAGCGGCGCAATGAAGCGCCGTCAAACCGTCCTTGTCGGAGGTGCCCGCGGCCGCCGCTCCTCCAGCCCTGCGCGCGCGCGCGCGTTCATTATGGGTGCGTTATGGGTTATGAAAGAGAAAGATCGAATGATTTTCGTCGCTACCTCGCCAGGGCCAGTACGGCCTCCACGCTACCGGCGCTCGCTGCCCACAAGATCGGCTGCCGTCCGTCCTCGTCCTTTGCATTTACATCCGCGCCAAATTCTAAAAGCGTCTGAAGGACCTTCAGTCCGACTTTCTTTGGAACTGCGAGCTCGGCCGTAGCGGCCGCGCCGCAACATTGGGCGGCGTAGTGCAGCGGAGATCCACCACGTAAATCGCCGGTGGAAGGTCGCGCGCCGGCCGCTAGAACTAATCGAACGCATTCCGCTTCTCCGCAAACTGCAAATCGTTCCAACTCCTGTAATTGCTCACGTTCTGCGACGTAACCGACGATTGCTAATGGACTAGCGAGTCAGAGAATAGAGGAATAAACGATAAACTTGGCCGACGAGTAATATTCAGTTTAACCGAAAATAACCGCAGGCCCCGTCGCGTGATCGCCGGCAGACCGGAATCGCGTCACCGAGGATGACCTACTGACCTTACCTCGCTTGACCACCACCCGACCACCCGAAAGATCGGGAGGAGCGGCGATATGCGGCCTCCGTCTCACGGAGATAGAAATCACGGAGATAAAATGGAACGGATAGACTGCAATAGGAAATATACCAGTAGCCCAATGAAGGACACTGTGTCCTTCCAGATCCTTGGCGTTCACATCAGCACCATTCGCCAGCAGGACCGCAACCAGTTGGGTGTCGCCCGCGATCACTGCCAGATGAAGCGGCGTGTGACCCTCAGCGTCGGGAGCATTTACCAGCTCCGGTGCCGCGGCGGCAACAGCACCACCGGTTGCCGCGTCCATGCAATAATGGAGAGCGTTCCTCAATGTGCGATCCCTGTAACCAATCGTTGCCTCCTGTTCCTTCAACAATCGTAAAACTCTCGCCCTGTTGCCCTGTTGGCAGGCGTGCATCAAAGGCGTAGCGCCGAGTTGTAGCACCCTGAAACACACACACACACACACACACTTGATGAGGCACGCCAGCGAATCGCCAGCGACGTACCGCACAACCTGTGTACCTGTAAGGTCTACGACGATCCTTGCGACGATCTCGATTCTGTGCGGTAACTCCTGCGTAATGTTGCTCCTGCGGCCAGTGCGACGTGCCTTTGCTTTTGGTACTCGGATGCGTATTCGGTTGCGACTGCGACTGCGGCTGCGGCTGCGGTGTCAGAGGTGGCAAGGACACATCGGCCACTCGTTCCGTTCTCTTCGGTTGAGGCTTCTCCTGCGGCAGCTTCAACGGAATCGGCGGGGTCTTAGTGTCCATGCCCGTCTCTGGTAATCGCGGCTATTCCGATCACACGTGGAAGCATCTTTCGGTTACTCAACGGATCGAACGCCCATCGCGCCCAAAGGATGGGGAATCACCCGTTCCCTCTAGCTGTACGCTCCAGTAGCTGTACACCGATATCTCCCGACTTTACACTCCCATGTAATTCAGTCTTCATTCGGGACAGGCTGCGCCGTTTCTCTGCATTTCGATACTGTTTTTCTACGACTTTTGTGCGTCATTTTACAGTCGCGCGGATATAATTGCCATCTATATTTGAACGCGCGCGCGCGCGTTCCACCAGTGCGACCCAAATATTCCGCTCCGAATCCAAGCTCGGCTACTGACCACGTGCTGGCTACTGACCAGGTCACTCGCTACCATAGAAACCAACGGTCAAAACACGCGACCACCTATAAAGAATTATAATGACTGGCACAAGGTCGCCACGTGTCAAATTCTAATCCTCTCCGATCTGTGTGGGTCGTTTTAACCGACGGGATTGTATGACCTTCGCGAGTATTCCCGACATTCCCACCAATCCCACGACTGACCCGATGAAAATTCAAATTCTATCTTGTGTCGCGGACTTTTTGTTCTTCTTGTTCACGTGCGAGATCAACCTTGGCGAGAAAGGCACTGCCCACATCGGTTTGATAACTCTCTTTCCTCGCTTTTCGGGAGAGCGAGTGTAGAATGCGAGTATTAGCGAATACATATGGAGGACGCCTCTTGTTCGTCAGAGGATATATTTAACAAATATTCTCGGTATTTGTTTGTTATGCGCTACTCCTTACTACTCACTCTCACTGCCTTGTTTCTCATTAGGCGAGTCGAGAGAGTCACGCCCGGCTGCAGTTATAACAACGATGAAAGGATCGAAGCGTAGCGAAAGAAGGAGAGTTTAAGAAGGAGCGTTACATTTCGTGCGATTGCGATGGCCTCGCCGTTCGTACACACGCGCCGCGACGAACTCATGCGCACGTAACACGGCGATGACTGAAAATCGTTATTTCGTTGATTCAACGTGCCGCACATCGATCGTTATTGCCCCGTTAATAATTCGCCTCTCTCTCTCGTGGCCTTCGCGGTGTATACTCAGTGATGTTTGGTTGCATCGTTAATATTTCATCTGCGCCTTCGAAGAAGTTACGTGCACCGACACATCACGTGTTTATTGTTTGCAAGATCCAGATCGGTGCAAACAGAATGCAAATCGAAAATCGTCGCGTCCTTTTAATGCGAAGATAATGTGTCAATTTACTAAAGAAACTGCGATGCAGTCTCGCATCGAGATCACTCGACGCGACTCGACTCGTGCGCTCGACTTTGCAACGAATTTAAAGTGCGCGGGAACGCGCGAACGCGCGCGCGCCTACGCTTGTCGCTCCTGTGCT